TCATATGGGACCTGTTCCAAACCCCTGATCATTTTAGTTGCCCTCCCCTCTCCCAGCCTCTCTCTTCCCCTCTCCCACCTCCTTTTCCCAGTCTCCCCGAGTTTTGTTCAATAAAGAGAGATTCTATTTTTGAACACATATTTTCTTTATTTTGTATATCAGGAAGGGGGCTAGGGAAGGGTAAGTGGAAGGAGGTGAGGGAGGAATGGGGTACGAGCCCCCGATGGGGAGGACTGGGCTGGCTCTGCAGGCTTCTGGGTGTGGAAGCTCTCCTGCAGCCCCCCAATTGCCCCCTCTCCCCAGATGGCAGCCTGCGGCAAGTGCAGCTGGTCTGATGGCCGAGTGCTGTGATGTGCCCAGTGTGGGTACTCCGGGCACTCCAAGCCAGGACTGCTTTGCAAGCGGGGCACCCCTGAGAACTGTCTGTCCGGGGTGGGGGTCGGGTCCCTTTAAGCACAGCCCTCGGCTAGCCTGAGGCAGTAGCTCCACGCTCTAAGTCCTTATCTGATGCCCTGCCGGCATTGCTTCTGGCCATCCTTAACCCCGGTTCAGGGTCCACTCAGTGTGGACATGCTAGTTCGAATTAGCAAAATGCTAATTCAAACTAGTTTTTTAGTCTGGATGCGTTAGTTCGAATTAGCTTAGTTCGAATTAGTGCTGTAGTGTAGACAGACCCATCTAGAGCAGACCACGCCATCAACTACTGCATTTTCTCACTCGCAGTTGGCCCTCACGTGTGTGCCCCAGGCTTCCAGTCTCTGATTTCTCTGCAGTAGCTTCTGAAGTTAGTGCATATTTTGCTCGCAGGTATTTAATAGAGACTTTAAAAAGAAGCAGCTAGGGAAAGGGGGCGAAGTTTTCTGGCCAGGTCTAGAAAAAGAGCCTCCAACTCATTGCTTTCTGCTTCAGCACCTGCTCCTCCTCTTTCTTCAGTTCAGTGAGGAATGTACCAGAGCTTGGAAACTGGGACGAGGTCAGATTTAACTCCCTTACGGTTTGGTGTCTGGCATTGGTGCCAGTCACAGCAGGTGGTCCCAGCATAGAGCCTCCCCAAAGTTCATAAGGGGCGGTTGTTTGTGGGCCAGGCCTAGTTGAGGTTTTGCAGCCTCCTTAGTCTGTGTCTGCTCCAAGCAGAGAAGTGGGGATGCTTCCTGATGGCTGCAGGGAGTACTAAGTTAGTCTCTCTCTCTTGCTTGCAGGTTCTCTCCCTCCTGGGCCTAGGAGCAGTTCCTCTGCACCAGCCAGTAATCCCTCTAGCACCATGAATCCCAACATGCCTTTTACTTCCTCTCCAGATCCATCCCCCTCCCAGAACCCCCTCTCGCTGATGATGTCACAGATGTCCAAGTATGCCATGCCCAGCTCCACACCACTCTACCACAATGCCATCAAAACCATCGCCACCTCTGATGATGAGCTGCTCCCAGACAGGCCCATGCTCCCACCAGGAAGCATGCCAGGTATGTTTTCTGGGATTGTGTCTGTGCCAGCAGGGAAAACAAGCTGGAGTTATGGGTAAGACTGGTTTTGTGGCTCGCACTAGGCCTGGGAGGTAGGACACGTTGATTCCAGGAGGAGTGTGGCTCTGGTGCACAAAGTGGAGAGTAGGAATTATATTTCTGGCTCTGCCAGCGACATACATGGCTTCGGGCAAGTCTCTTTTTCCCTGTCCCTCTCTGCCTATGGTAAGTTATAGGGATTTGTGCATGATGATTGGCCTGACCACCATTCCAATTCAGGTGTATGTGTGCCGCATGCATGAACGTTGGAAACGCATGTGCAACAGATACTCCAACACCACTGAGATAGGCGCCTGCCCTGGGGACACATCCTGCTCCTCATGCCAGTTAGGAAACCTTTTCCATTTGGCCAAATACGCCACTCTGGTAGAGGGCTTTCTACTGCCCAATAGGACCTCATGTACCTAGGCTGAGCATTGAAGCTCTAACGAATCAAATCATCCAGCTTCCAAGCTGTTAGGTGGAGGGAGCGCAGATCTGGGTGCCTGAGGTGCTCCCGATGTTGTGTCAGAAGGTCCAGGCGCAGAGGAAGGACTACAGGGGCTCCTGCCACCACGTGCTCCTGCCTCTTATCAGTGGCAGCAGCATGGGGTGACAGGCAGCCAGTCTGTGAGGGGAAGCAGCAGCAAGGAGTGGCAGGGAGCTCCTTGGGAGTGGGGCCAGGGTGCACGGGTTGCCAGCCCCGCCAACTATAGAGCAGTCGACTAACCAATAAGAATTCATGAGGTTACTCGACTATTCAATTAACCGATATTTAACAGCCCTAGTCTAGGCAGGGAGTCCCCCACCTGTGGAAGACCGATCTTATCAGGCATCTGCCAATGTGTTCTGCAACTCTAGGAGTACTGGGCTTCAAGGTGGATTCTGTGTTTGACACAATAGTGCCATAGCCTCTGCGCCTCCCTGCATAGGTGAGAAGACCTCGCATCCCCTTGTTTGCTTTGTGGTCCTATTGTCCATACACACCGATATGCACCAGCCCTGCATCTGGGCTTGAAATACCTGGCATGCCAGTCTGACCGCTCTGTTTCTTCACACTGATGTGAAGATTCATGTCTGTGGAAGAACATAGTCCTTGCGTCCTGAGATTGCCCAGGTGGGCTCCCCATCCATGTCTGATGCGTCCATCACCAGAGTCAGAGTGGGGGTCAGAGGATGAACTGCACACCCTGTGACAGGTTGTAAAGGTCCATCCACCACTTGAGGGACTCTGTCACCTTCTGGGGAATGGATACTACCATGTCCAAGTTGTGACATGCAGGTATGTAGACCGAGGCGAGCCCCCCCGAGGGGTCTCAGGTGTAGAACATCGCACCAAAAAGTGCAAGATCTGTCGAAGTTTTAAACACTGCACTAGAAAGGACAGGCACACACTTTAAAACCTGGGGTGTTAGGCATGCCCAGTGCCCTGAGGGGCTAAATAAACGCTTGGGCACTTGCCCACTGTCCTTTTATTTGCTCAAAAATCCTTATAACGAGAAAAAAAGTGAAGACTAGGAAAACGAGAGCTATTGCTAGGGACTAGACAATTGCTAAGCAGGAGCTAGCTACAGTTCCAACGTCACCATGGACGGTAAGGAGGAACCGAGGGAGGGTAGAGTCAGTGGTGTGAATATATAGCTGATATAGTGGTGCCACTCTAGGGGTCTCCACAGCCAACTCTACGGGAGCTGCTAGGGGAAAAGTTTCCAATGTTCATGCATGCGGTGCACATACACCTGAACTGGAATCAACGTGAGTAATCACTCAAAGAAGGAATTACTGTTCTCTGTTAGCAATATGGGGCCTCAACGCACAGCCAGCAGAGGGCAACAGAGCCATATACACACCGGTCATTTAAATTGCAGTATCATTCAGTTGGGTTATTAATGGTAACTGTAGTCACTCTGGGCTCGTCTACATTGGCCCCTTTTCCGGAAGGGGCATGTTAATTTCAGAGATCGTAATAGGGAAATCCGCGGGGGATTTAAATATCCCCCGCGGCATTTAAATAAAAATGTCTGCCGCTTTTTTCCGGCTTTTAGAAAAGCCAGAAAAGAGCGTCTACACTGGCCCCGATCCTCTGGAAAAAGCGTCCTTTTCCGGAGGATCTTATTCCTACTTCCAGAAAAGGGGCCAATGTAGACGTAGCCTCCAAGTCCATCAGCATGCTAGGGGTACAGGTTATGTTAAGGCGAGATGTAAGGATGTCAGCTCTGAAGGGTGGGTGCCTTAGCCTGTCCTGAATACCGAGATGAGCTCTTGGGCTCCCAGGGTTCTCACTGGCACAAGAAAAGCAATAGAGCCCACACAGCTGTAACCAAAGGATATTCGCTCCCTGGATACTTTTGACTAAGTTCCTTAAATGGAACTGCTGAGCTGGCATCCCACGCTGCTTTCCCAGCTTGCCACAACTTTGCAAAGTTGGAAGCTTTCAGAACCTGGTGCAAAGCAGGCGAGGCTTGTGTGCGCGGCATTAGCAGATGCAGTTCTGTTCTGCCATCTGCTTCTTACTGACTAGCAAGGCTAGCTGCTGCCTTCTCCATGCACCATTGATCTGTCTGGCAAACACATCAGGCTCAGGACACTGGAGTTTCTAGCCCAGTATTCAGCCAAGATCAGCTGAGGTAAAACATGGGGATGCGACGTGTGAGAGAGTTACATATACATCCCCGGGCCCCATAGATCTTACTCAGCTCTCTGCCTTCTCTTTTCTGCATCCACTTGCCCAGTGTCCCTCCCTCAAGCATCTGCCTGCGTGTTGTCTCTGAGATGGCAGGGCCATGTTCTGTTATTTTGGCCATTCCCTTTGAGTCCCAGAGCTGGGTAGGGTTTGCCCTGCATGGAGGAGGGAAGGGGCTGTGATCTTTGGGATGTCCTTGAATTTTCCCCTCCCCCTGAAGATATCCCATCACCCCTGTTTCCAGTGTGAGCAACCTCAGATTGTCTCAAAGTCTGTCCCAGTGGGATGGGAAAGCTTGACCAGGGTCTGGGCTCTTCATTCCGTGAATGCAGCGTCCCAGAGCCTGCAGAGTTCAGAGCCATAAGAGGGGGGCATGATCTGAAAACTCCGTAGTTCTGATTTCAGGAAGTCTGACTCCAAAGTGTGGGGCACGAGCTCCTTTCTAGGCTGGCTGTGAGCACTACTGAGTTTGTGTAAGCCAGGCAATACTGTGCACTAGGCAAGTGGCTGTGCTGTCCTTCCCAGTACTCACCACTGGGGGACATGCACAGATGCTGCCAATTAATGGCTGTGGTGAGGATTATTTCTTGGCAGTTGTTCCTTGTGCTGGGGCTGTAACAGCCTGCAAAGAGCTTGCTGCGCTGTGCTGTACCAGCCTGTGTGGCAACAGGATTGGTTGGGCTGGTAAGAGCCACAAGCCCCACGTAGGGCCAGTGACCAACAGAGTCTTGTGATAACATCCATCGAATCCTTGTTATTCCCTGCCTGCACTAGGCTAGCTCTGAGGCCTGGAGAAGCTCTTGCCAGTACAAGCATCAGCACCTACCAGCTGGCCCTCTTAGGGTGTGTCTACCCTGCAGGGCTTAACTTGAAATAAGCTACGTCAGTTGTGTATTTTATTTCAAAATAGCTGATTTCAAAATAGGGAGCATCTAGACAGCACTTACTTTGAAGTAGAACATTCTTCCTCCGACTTCCTTTATCCCTCATACAATGAGGGCAACAGGAGTCTGAGTAAGAAGTCCTCCAGCTTGACAGTATTTTGACACTATTTCGACACTGCCTTCCAGCCTGGGGCCACTAGCACAAAGTAGCTGTGCAGACATCAGAGGTAAGGCTCAGGTGTCTGTGGGGGCTTGAGAGCTCACGCTCCTGATACAGCTGCAACTTCAAAGCACCATCTACACAGCAGTTTTTACAATGCTAGGACAAGTGTGTGGACCCGGGCTGGAGGCTGGCTCCTAGGTGCAGCATTGACATGACCTTACTGTTGCAGTGAGAGAGAGAAGGGCTGATCTCCTGAGCATGTGCTCTGTGGTTCTCCGCGTTCCTCTGTACAGCCTACCACCTGGCTGGTATGGACAGCTGCAATGTTTACATAACAAGTTTCAGATAAGTCTGCAGATGATACCAAGCTGGGAGGGGTTGCAACTGCTTTGCAGGGTGATATGGTCATAATTCAAAATGATCTGGACAGACTGGAGAAACGGTCTGAGGAAAATAGGATGAAGTTTAATAAGGACAAATGCAAAGTGCTCCACTTAAGAAGGAAAAATCAGTTTCACATACACAGAATGGGAAGTGACCATCTAGGACGGAGACCTGCAGAATGGGATCTAGGGGTTATAGTGGACCACAAGCTAAATATGAGTCAACAGTGTGATGCTGTTGCAAAAAAAGGAAACATGATTCTGGGCGGCATTAACATGAGTGTTGTGAGCCAGACACGAGAAGTCATTCTTCCGCTCCGCTCTGCTCTGCACTGATCAGGCCTCAATTGGAGTATTGTATCCAGTTCTGGGCACCGCATTTCGAGAAGGATGTGGCGAAATTGGAGGAGATCCAGAGAAGAGCAACAAGAATGCTGAAAGGTCTAGAGAACATGAGCTATGGGGGAAGACTGAAAGAACTGGACTTGTTTAGTTGAGAAAAGCGATGACTGAGAGGGGACATGCTAGTGGTTTTCAAGTACCTAAAAGAGTGTTACAAGGATGAGGGAGAAAAATTGTTCTCCTTGGCCTCTGAGGATAGGACAAGAAGCAATGGGCTTAAACTGCAGCAAGGGAGGTTTAGGTTGGACATCGGGAAAAACTTCCTGTCAGGGTGGTTAAACACTGGAATAAATTGCCTGCGGGGATTGTGGAATCTCCATCTCTGAAGCTTTTTAAGAGCAGGTTGAACAGACGTGTCAAGGATGGTCTAGACGGTGCTGGGTCCCGCCGTGGGGGCAGGGGACTGGACTCCAAGACCTGTCAAGGTCCCTTCTAGTTCTAGTGCTCTATGATTCCATGGCAATGAGGTGCTCGGGGAGAATACTGAGCAGGTGTCAGATCTGAGAGCAGAGTCCCCTCTGCTATGGGTAGATTAGATCACTGGGCTGGTCTTGCATGCTCACTGCGGTGCTGTCTCCCTCCATGCTGCAGCCAGACTTGGTGATTATAGCCACCGATGGGGACATCTGTCTTTGATTGACCTTCCTGCCCTGATGGGCCCCTGGCAGACCCTCCCCATGGATCCAGCAGTGAGAACCAACTGGGGCCAGGTTTAAACCAGGGAATCTCTGCGTAGACGCTGATTTCCATGGAGAGGGCTGTTGGCCCTGTGCTCTCTGCAGCTGGGGGAGGTGGTGCATAAGCACTGAGTTAACTCTTCTTCTCCCCTTCATTAGGTATCACAGGAAACCAGCCAAATCAACTGCACTTGAATTCAGTGGGGCCTGCATCCTCACAGAGCCCCATGGGGATGAACTTGCCTGGCCAGCAGCCTCTCTCCCACGAGCCCCCCACTTCCATGATGTCCTCGCCGAATCCCCTGGGCTCCAACATTCCAATGCATCCTGGTGCACAGGCCACAGGCGTGCCTCCCCCTACTCCCATGATGCTGCCTCCGGGGCCCCAAGACTCCATGAATCAGCCCTGTGGGCCTGTGCCCAACAATTCTCAGATGATCCCTTCCAACCAGCTGGTGTTCCCGCGCATGCAGCAGCCCCACAATGCCATGCAGTCTCCAGCTGCGGGTATGCCCATGACCCCAGGAGGTGGAGGAGGGGCTGGGATACCGCAGCATTACCCGCCTGGGATGCCCTTGCCACCAGAGGATCTTCCCTCCCAGCAACCTGGTCAGATGCCCCCACAGCAGCACATGATGGGCAAGAATATCCCTCCACGGATTGGAGATCCCTACCCCCCTGTGCTTCCGGGTGTGGCTTCGGTACTGAATGACCCTGAGCTTAGTGAAGTCATCCGACCCACACCCACAGGCATCCCTGAGTTTGATCTCTCCAGGATCATCCCCTCAGAGAAGCCAAGCAGCACCTTGCAGTATTTCCCCAAAAGTGACAGCCAAGCATCGAAATCACAGCCTTCCAACCTCCACCTCATGAACCTGCAGAACATGATGGCTGAGCAGCCCCCCGCTCGGCCAGGCATGACTGCCCCCAGCCTTCCAGGCCAGCAGGGCGTGCAGCGGGGACTCAACATACCTATATGCCATCCTGGACAAGTGTCCATGCTGGGCAGGACAGGGATGCCACCGCAGCAAGCCATGATGGGCAACAGCATGCACCAGAGCATGATGTCTCCCCAGCAGAGCCTGATGGCCCAGCAGAATTTCATGCTGATGCAGGCTAAGCAGAGAAGCATGTCTGTGTCAGGGGAAATGTATGCCCAGACGGGACATATGATGTCACCTCAGGGCTCCCTCATGGGGCCCCCACCTCAGCAGAACCTTATGGTCACGCACCAGATGAGGCAGAGGAGTGTTTCACTGGACAGCCAAATGAGCTACATCTCTGGGCCCGGGAACATGGCAAACCTGCCTTTCTAATCATGCCCTGAGGGGCAGGGGCTGATTGTAGAAACCTTTTTTAAACCTTTATTTGGGTTAGGGTTGGGAGGCTGGGGCCTATGGGGGTATGGAGGGAGATGTTTTTCATATTGAATTTGCCTCTATACGGAAAAACAGATGTGCAGTAAAATTGATGTGACTCCTTTTTTGGGGGCAGGGAAGGGGTATTATTTTTGAAACCCAAGTGGTGACCGGGGGCTTCCAAACCCTACGGCAGTTTGTAAAATCTTCCTTTATTTTTTCCTTGTAGTGTGGGTTTTCTTTGTTTGTTTTAAACAACAACCAAAATGTACAAGAAGATTTTGAATGAGTTGTAAATAGGGCTGAGAGAGACAGAAACTTGTGCTGGTTTAAAATTGTTCTGTAATTTCTGTGTTTTAATAGAAGCCTCAATTATTCATTTTAAACTACAACAAAACTTAAACAAATGTAGTAGGGTTTAAACTCTTGCAAAGGAGGTCCCAGGGCAGCCTCTTTCATGCATTGGAACAGTTTGTGTGCAGGGATGTATGGGTTTGAACAGAGCCCTGGGTACGTGTCTTAGGTCCTGATTCTGCAGTCAGACCCTGTGGGCCTGTACAGGGATACACCCAGTCACGGGGATCCACCTGCAGGACTGGAACTGCTGACATCTCTAAAACAGTATTGGTTGGGGGAGTCATTGGTCGTGGGGATTGACAGCAGTTTCTATCTGTCTCTGTTACATGGCAAAGCTATTAGCAGCATGAGAAATGAGAGTGCCCTTGAGGTCTGATCCCATTCTGCAAGTAACAAGTAATTGGACCACAAGGTCTCCCTGCTCCCCTCTCCACCCCCAGGTGCTCTGTGTGAATGCTCAGGAATGGTGAGAACAGAATGAACGCTGAGATGTCTATCTGGCTGATTCCATCCTGTGCTTCCTGGGTATGTTGTGCAGAGGACAGGAGGGAACTTAACACACACACACACACACACACACACACACACACACACATGTATGCACTCTCTGCAGAGCATCCCATACCCCTTATTGGCTCTGCTCCTGTTTATCTCCTGTGTGAGTGCAGACATCTTGCCCTGCTGCACTATAGTCCTTGCCTTCTTTACACTCCTTTGCCTTCTGCGTGTGCACATTTCTGTGGGAGAGCTGGCCTCATGTACAAAACCCTGCATTTTAGGGTAGAGATGCTCCAAGCATTTTCTGAGTCTTGGAATCCCAGATCTCCCTCAAGAGAAACCGCATAGGCAGCTTGCCAGGAGATGTAAAGTTATCTGTACCCTGAACCACCACAGCCGTTGGCCTTAGAATCTCTCCTCCACTGGCCAGTCCATGTTACTCATGGGAGCATCTGGGACGTCTTTTCCACCACCACATTAGGCTACTTAAAGCATGCACTGCAAGCACAAGGGGTTTGGGATTTTTTGGGGGGGAAGAGGGGCTGTGTCTGGCTCTTTCTGCCTGAGTGATTAAAAGCTGGAGTGTGTAGACCTCCCACCTTTCCCTCCAACACTCAGCCTTGCTGAGAAATGTCCTGACTTGTTGAATCTCCATTCTGTCCACATTATCCCCATGTCAGTAAGAGCCTGCAAGTTGCAATATGCATGAGCTGTGTAGAACAGCAAGAGGGCTTGCAGAGGCAGTGGGAGCAATGGCTTTCTTGGTAACAGAAAGGTAAGGTGAGGGTGACATTATTTATCCCATGTTAGATTGCATGTTATTTTGGAAGGAGCAAGGTCTACAGTCCAACTAAACTGAATACAAAAGGGAAATTCTGGTACTTTGCAGGGCTGTTGGCCCTCCTGGAGCACTTTTTGTTTGGTCGTCAGAGCAACCAACTGGGATGCCATAATCAACCTTCACTGTCCTATCAGTCCTCGTGATGTCTAAATCTGGGGGCCAATAGTGCTGAGTGGTGCCTTTTTTGCTTGCGGTACCATCTCCCAAACAGGTCTAGTTCATCAGCGATATGGTGGGAGGCTTTCAGGGATGAAGGGTAGCCATCTCTTGTTAGGCCTCAGCAGAGCATTTGCTCTGTCACCCTCTGCTGTGAGCTGGGTCTAGTCTTGTCTTGTGTTTTATTGCTTGATTTGTTAGCTTGCGTTTTGTGTGCTGAATTCCACCCAGTTATGGTTAAGCCCCCGTGTTTCTAACTACGATATGTCAGTGTTTTTTCTTGCACCAATCAAAGGAAAATAACAGGAAACCGTGTCTTTCCAATGCAATTTTAAGCAATCATGCCCAGAATTAGCTTTCATGTCCAGGTAACAGCAACTGACCCCTTTCTCTGTCATCTCATGGAGAAACTTCCCCAGTCATTTTGTAACATTATATAAATATAAATATATATATATATATATAAAAATATAAATATGTAAATACAATATGTGAAGACATCTTATTGGTTTTTATTTTGAAACAATTTTTAGGCTTGTTTTTTGGGTATCTGTGCTGCCTGTAATGTATTGACCTGTTTTATAGGTGCCTTTTTATTAAAAAGAGACATTTCAAAACAAGATCCTTGGAGCCTATCTTCACTGACTTGAGTTTCTTCAACATTAGCTAGCATGGCTCATTGTTCTTATAGGATCACATCAAATCACATATAGTCGACAGTTGCTGATTGGTTGAGCCTGGTGAAGACCTGGCTTGGACACATGCATTTCTGCTGTTTTTTTTCTCCAAATCATGTTTGAGACACAAGGAGTTGTCACCATGTGAAGGGCTGAGATGTTGTTACTCCCTAGATTACCCTAACCACAGATCAAATCTGAATTTTTAACTCCAGTCTTCCCAATGATATCCACAGCTTGAGTTAATCACCTCTGATTGACACTGACACTTGCTGTTTTGGGGGTAGTTCATCCTCTCTCTCGGGTTGGAAAGTTGCCAGGAGGCAGCAAGAGCTCATTGCTTCCCTGTCCTGCTGTCAGCCCAGCTCATGTATGGTTTCCCACAAGAAACCATACATGTCTAAACTCTGTTCTGTCAACAGCCGAGAGCCATGGATGCTCCTGAGCCAGTCTCTCTGATGCTCTTGCTGGGTAGAAGCAGTAAAGAAAAGGAGCAGTGTTGGCTTTATTCTCTGGCTGCTCCACTGGAACTAATCTTCACTCTCTGATTGCCAACGACTTGGTGTATGTGTGAGTTCTCTCCATGTGTTGTCTCAGCTCGGTGCAGACAGTGCAGCTGACCTTGATAGTATTACACAGCAAGACCACAGACTCTTCAATGGCAAAGGCACTCAGCCAGGCTTATTGCCCTCAAGACACTATCCTAGTGCCCCACAGACTCTATAGGTACACTAAACACGAGTGTCCAGGGGCAAGAACTCAGCTCAGTCAGCAGCAGGACTTGCTGCTGCTCCCTTGACTGAACAAAGAGGTCCCATGTATGATCTCCATGTATTGAGATATGTTATGTACTATGCTTCTGGATACTTGGCTAAGACCATAGGAGTTGTTGGTTCAAAGCCTCTTTCTGTTGCTGAAATGGGAATTGATTTATACTCTGTAAATCGCTTACGTGCCAGATTGGGACATAGTTTGATGTGAGAGCTCCCTTGGTCTTTCCTGTTGAAGCCAGTCGCTTACCACTAAATAATAATTGGGTGCAGCTCAGGCTAGCACAGTGGGTTTAGTACATTTTTCAAAATGGCTGAGTTGTTGGGCCAAATCCTGTTTTGTGCTGGTTGAGATGGGATTTGAAGCAGGCTCTTTTATCCCTCAAGTGAAGGGCCCACCTGCTGGATAGGGAGGTATTGTGACATGGGCCTCCCTCACTCTTTTCTATTGAAGCTGGTTCACTTGAACTACATAAGATAGTAGTTTAATTGCGGAGGGCAACCAAAATGATTTGGGGGTTGGCACACATGACCTAGGAGGAGAGGCTGAGGGATTTGAGCTTGTTTAGTCTGCAGAAGAGAAGTGAGGGGGGATTTGGGTTCCAAAGAGGATGGAGAGAGGCTGTTCTCAGTAGTGACAGATGGCAGAACAAAGAGCAATCAGTTACAGTGGGGGAGGTCTAGGTTGGGTATTAGGAAGAAGAGGTTACTCACCTTCGGTGCAGTAACGATGGTTCTTCGAGGTGTGTCCCCGTGGGTGCTCCACGTCTGGTGTCGGGCTGGTCCCGGCGCCACGAATCGGAGCTTGCCCTAGCTGTAGCCGACCGGGTCGCGCATGCGCGAGCAGCGTTCGCGCCTTTGAACAGCCGCGCGCGACCCGGTCTCCGCCAGTTCCTCTCACCGCCATCTGAAAAAGATAATAAAGAAGATTCCGTAGCGGGGAGGAGGGCGGGTCGTGGAGCACCCACGGGGACACACCTCGAAGAACCATCGTTACTGCACCGAAGGTGAGTAACCTCTTCTTCCTAATACCCAACCTAGACCTCCCCCACTGTAACTGATTGCTCTTTGTTCTGCCATCTGTCACTACTGAGAACAGCCTCTCTCCATCCTCTTTGGAACCCAAATCCCCCCTCACTTCTCTTCTGCAGACTAAACAAGCTCAAATCCCTCAGCCTCTCCTCCTAGGTCATGTGTGCCAACCCCCAAATCATTTTGGTTGCCCTCCGCAATTAAACTACTATCTTATGTAGTTCAAGTGAACCAGCTTCAATAGAAAAGAGTGAGGGAGGCCCATGTCACAATACCTCCCTATCCAGCAGGTGGGCCCTTCACTTGAGGGATAAAAGAGCCTGCTTCAAATCCCATCTCAACCAGCACAAAACAGGATTTGGCCCAACAACTCAGCCATTTTGAAAAATGTACTAAACCCACTGTGCTAGCCTGAGCTGCACCCAATTATTATTTAGTGGTAAGCGACTGGCTTCAACAGGAAAGACCAAGGGAGCTCTCACATCAAACTATGTCCCAATCTGGCACGTAAGCGATTTACAGAGTATAAATCAATTCCCATTTCAGCAACAGAAAGAGGCTTTGAACCAACAACTCCTATGGTCTTAGCCAAGTATCCAGAAGCATAGTACATAACATATCTCAATACATGGAGATCATACATGGGACCTCTTTGTTCAGTCAAGGGAGCAGCAGCAAGTCCTGCTGCTGACTGAGCTGAGTTCTTGCCCCTGGACACTCGTGTTTAGTGTACCTATAGAGTCTGTGGGGCACTAGGATAGTGTCTTGAGGGCAATAAGCCTGGCTGAGTGCCTTTGCCATTGAAGAGTCTGTGGTCTTGCTGTGTAATACTATCAAGGTCAGCTGCACTGTCTGCACCGAGCTGAGACAACACATGGAGAGAACTCACACATACACCAAGTCGTTGGCAATCAGAGAGTGAAGATTAGTTCCAGTGGAGCAGCCAGAGAATAAAGCCAACACTGCTCCTTTTCTTTACTGCTTCTACCCAGCAAGAGCATCAGAGAGACTGGCTCAGGAGCATCCATGGCTCTCGGCTGTTGACAGAACAGAGTTTAGACATGTATGGTTTCTTGTGGGAAACCATACATGAGCTGGGCTGACAGCAGGACAGGGAAGCAATGAGCTCTTGCTGCCTCCTGGCAACTTTCCAACCCGAGAGAGAGGATGAACTACCCCCAAAACAGCAAGTGTCAGTGTCAATCAGAGGTGATTAACTCAAGCTGTGGATATCATTGGGAAGACTGGAGTTAAAAATTCAGATTTGATCTGTGGTTAGGGTAATCTAGGGAGTAACAACATCTCAGCCCTTCACATGGTGACAACTCCTTGTGTCTCAAACATGATTTGGAGAAAAAAAACAGCAGAAATGCATGTGTCCAAGCCAGGTCTTCACCAGGCTCAACCAATCAGCAACTGTCGACTATATGTGATTTGATGTGATCCTATAAGAACAATGAGCCATGCTAGCTAATGTTGAAGAAACTCAAGTCAGTGAAGATAGGCTCCAAGGATCTTGTTTTGAAATGTCTCTTTTTAATAAAAAGGCACCTATAAAACAGGTCAATACATTACAGGCAGCACAGATACCCAAAAAACAAGCCTAAAAATTGTTTCAAAATAAAAACCAATAAGATGTCTTCACATATCCAAGGATCTTGTTTTGAAATGTCTCTTTTTAATAAAAAGGCACCTATAAAACAGGTCAATACATTACAGGCAGCACAGATACCCAAAAAACAAGCCTAAAAATTGTTTCAAAATAAAAACCAATAAGATGTCTTCACATATTGTATTTATATATTTATATTTTTATATATATATATATATATTTATATTTATATAATGTTACAAAATGACTGGGGAAGTTTCTCCATGAGATGACAGAGAAAGGGGTCAGTTGCTGTTACCTGGACATGAAAGCTAATTCTGGGCATGATTGCTTAAAATTGCATTGGAAAGACACGGTTTCCTGTTATTTTCCTTTGATTGGTGCAAGAAAAAACACTGACATATCGTAGTTAGAAACACGGGGGCTTAACCATAACTGGGTGGAATTCAGCACACAAAACGCAAGCTAACAAATCAAGCAATAAAACACAAGACAAGACTAGACCCAGCTCACAGCAGAGGGTGACAGAGCAAATGCTCTGCTGAGGCCTAACAAGAGATGGCTACCCTTCATCCCTGAAAGCCTCCCACCATATCGCTGATGAACTAGACCTGTTTGGGAGATGGTACCGCAAGCAAAAAAGGCACCACTCAGCACTATTGGCCCCCAGATTTAGACATCACGAGGACTGATAGGACAGTGAAGGTTGATTATGGCATCCCAGTTGGTTGCTCTGACGACCAAACAAAAAGTGCTCCAGGAGGGCCAACAGCCCTGCAAAGTACCAGAATTTCCCTTTTGTATTCAGTTTAGTTGGACTGTAGACCTTGCTCCTTCCAAAATAACATGCAATCTAACATGGGATAAATAATGTCACCCTCACCTTACCTTTCTGTTACCAAGAAAGCCATTGCTCCCACTGCCTCTGCAAGCCCTCTTGCTGTTCTACACAGCTCATGCATATTGCAACTTGCAGGCTCTTACTGACATGGGGATAATGTGGACAGAATGGAGATTCAACAAGTCAGGACATTTCTCAGCAAGGCTGAGTGTTGGAGGGAAAGGTGGGAGGTCTACACACTCCAGCTTTTAATCACTCAGGCAGAAAGAGCCAGACACAGCCCCTCTTCCCCCCCAAAAAATCCCAAACCCCTTGTGCTTGCAGTGCATGCTTTAAGTAGCCTAATGTGGTGGTGGAAAAGACGTCCCAGATGCTCCCATGAGTAACATGGACTGGCCAGTGGAGGAGAGATTCTAAGGCCAACGGCTGTGGTGGTTCAGGGTACAGATAACTTTACATCTCCTGGCAAGCTGCCTATGCGGTTTCTCTTGAGGGAGATCTGGGATTCCAAGACTCAGAAAATGCTTGCAGCATCTCTACCCTAAAATGCAGGGTTTTGTACATGAGGCCAGCTCTCCCACAGAAATGTGCACACGCAGAAGGCAAAGGAGTGTAAAGAAGGCAAGGACTATAGTGCAGCAGGGCAAGATGTCTGCACTCACACAGGAGATAAACAGGAGCAGAGCCAATAAGGGGTATGGGATGCTCTGCAGAGAGTGCATACATGTGTGTGTGTGTGTGTGTGTGTGTGTGTGTGTGTGTGTTAAGTTCCCTCCTGTCCTCTGCACAACATACCCAGGAAGCACAGGATGGAATCAGCCAGATAGACATCTCAGCGTTCATTCTGTTCTCACCATTCCTGAGCATTCACACAGAGCACCTGGGGGTGGAGAGGGGAGCAGGGAGACCTTGTGGTCCAATTACTTGTTACTTGCAGAATGGGATCAGACCTCAAGGGCACTCTCATTTCTCATGCTGCTAATAGCTTTGCCATGTAACAGAGACAGATAGAAACTGCTGTCAATCCCCACGACCAATGACTCCCCCAACCAATACTGTTTTAGAGATGTCAGCAGTTCCAGTCCTGCAGGTGGATCCCCGTGACTGGGTGTATCCCTGTACAGGCCCACAGGGTCTGACTGCAGAATCAGGACCTAAGACACGTACCCAGGGCTCTGTTCAAACCCATACATCCCTGCACACAAACTGTTCCAATGCATGAAAGAGGCTGCCCTGGGACCTCCTTTGCAAGAGTTTAAACCCTACTACATTTGTTTAAGTTTTGTTGTAGTTTAAAATGAATAATTGAGGCTTCTATTAAAACACAGAAATTACAGAACAATTTTAAACCAGCACAAGTTTCTGTCTCTCTCAGCCCTATTTACAACTCATTCAAAATCTTCTTGTACATTTTGGTTGTTGTTTAAAACAAACAAAGAAAACCCACACTACAAGGAAAAAATAAAGGAAGATTTTACAAACTGCCGTAGGGTTTGGAAGCCCCCGGTCACCACTTGGGTTTCAAAAATAATACCCCTTCCCTGCCCCCAAAAAAGGAGTCACATCAATTTTACTGCACATCTGTTTTTCCGTATAGAGGCAAATTCAATATGAAAAACATCTCCCTCCATACCCCCATAGGCCCCAGCCTCCCAACCCTAACCCAAATAAAGGTTTAAAAAAGGTTTCTACAATCAGCCCCTGCCCCTCAGGGCATGATTAGAAAGGCAGGTTTGCCATGTTCCCGGGCCCAGAGATGTAGCTCATTTGGCTGTCCAGTGAAACACTCCTCTGCCTCATCTGGTGCGTGACCATAAGGTTCTGCTGAGGTGGGGGCCCCATGAGGGAGCCCTGAGGTGACATCATATGTCCCGTCTGGGCATACATTTCCCCTGACACAGACATGCTTCTCTGCTTAGCCTGCATCAGCATGAAATTCTGCTGGGCCATCAGGCTCTGCTGGGGAGACATCATGCTCTGGTGCATGCTGTTGCCCATCATGGCTTGCTGCGGTGGCATCCCTGTCCTGCCCAGCATGGACACTTGTCCAGGATGGCATATAGGTATGTTGAGTCCCCGCTGCACGCCCTGCTGGCCTGGAAGGCTGGGGGCAGTCATGCCTGGCCGAGCGGGGGGCTGCTCAGCCATCATGTTCTGCAGGTTCATGAGGTGGAGGTTGGAAGGCTGTGATTTCGATGCTTGGCTGTCACTTTTGGGGAAATACTGCAAGGTGCTGCTTGGCTTCTCTGAGGGGATGATCCTGGAGAGATCAAACTCAGGGATGCCTGTGGGTGTGGGTCGGATGACTTCACTAAGCTCAGGGTCATTCAGTACCGAAGCCACACCCGGAAGCACAGGGGGGTAGGGATCTCCAATCCGTGGAGGGATATTCTTGCCCATCATGTGCTGCTGTGGGGGCATCTGACCAGGTTGCTGGGAGGGAAGATCCTCTGGTGGCAAGGGCATCCCAGGCGGGTAATGCTGCGGTATCCCAGCCCCTCCTCCACCTCCTGGGGTCATGGGCATACCCGCAGCTGGAGACTGCATGGCATTGTGGGGCTGCTGCATGCGCGGGAACACCAGCTGGTTGGAAGGGATCATCTGAGAATTGTTGGGCACAGGCCCACAGGGCTGATTCATGGAGTCTTGGGGCCCCGGAGGCAGCATCATGGGAGTAGGGGGAGGCACGCCTGTGGCCTGTGCACCAGGATGCATTGGAATGTTGGAGCCCAGGGGATTCGGCGAGGACATCATGGAAGTGGGGGGCTCGTGGGAGAGAGGCTGCTGGCCAGGCAAGTTCATCCCCATGGGGCTCTGTGAGGATGCAGGCCCCACTGAATTCAAGTGCAGTTGATTTGGCTGGTTTCCTGTGATACCTAATGAAGGGGAGAAGAAGAGTTAACTCAGTGCTTATGTTAATCAGTTTCCCTTCTATAGTTAAATGCCGATGTTATTTTACAGTATTTCTTTAATTTTTCCTGAGGTAGGGAGAAGACAAGTTGGAGCCCCGTCCGCGACCAGGGGCGGATGAGAGGAACTGGCGGAGACCGGGTCGCGCGCGGCTGTTCAAAGGCGCGAACGCTGCTCGCGCATGCGCGACCCGGTCGGCTACAGCTAGGGCAAGCTCCGATTCGTGGCGCCGGGACCAGCCCGACACCAGACGTGGAGCACCCACGGGGACTACCCGAAGAAGAAAAACTATTTCCTTAGGAGGTTGGGGAAGCGCTGGGATGGGTTCCCTAGGGAGGTGGAATCTCCATCCCTAGAGGTGTTTAAGTTCTGGCTTGACAAAGCCCTGGCCGGGATGATTTACTTGGGGTTGGTCCTACTTTGGGTAGGGAGTTGGACTCAATGACTCCTGAGGTCTCTTCCAGCTCTAGGATTCTATGATAAGATCTGGGCCAAAGGCTGCCTCCAGGGCTCTGGTTGGTGTGGTGGTTATAGCACTTCCTGGGGCTGTGAGTGATGCTGGTTTATTTCCTGCTTTGCCCCAGTGGAGGGGAATCTGGTGCTTGAAGTGCAGGCCCTTGTAAACAGACCATACAAAGTAGTTCTTGCTGGTTTAATTAATGAATAATTGGGGGCCATGCAAAAGCCTTCAATTACTCCTTTGTCCCTGTGGGTAGTCCATCAGGCAGTGGCAGAGCCCTGGATCACTGCAGTTCTGCTTTTTAAATGTAGTAAGAGCAGCAGTGGGGATAGCTCTCAGGGCTGGTGTGAGCCAGGACTGAGCAGTCCCAGCCTGTGCCAGCTCCAGGACCACTGTGGATCTGCCTCCCCTTCCATTCCCAAACTGTGAACCACGGAGACGGTGCTGGGGTGTGTGGTGCAGTGGGGGGCTGTCTGCTCTGTGACCTAGGGTCCCCCTGCGCTGTGATGGGAGATTCTCACTGACTCTCCCGAATGTGTATTAACCCAGACACCCAGGCTCAGCCTCCCAGGGAGGGAGACAAAGGAAGGAAGGCGGAGACCAGCACCTGGCTGGGGGGCAGGGCTGGAAGTGAGTTTTAGTTTCTGTCTGGTATCATGGAGGCATGGAGGCAACGGGCTGGGATTTAGGGGCCCTGTCTCCCCCATCTCAAGAGGGGCTGAGGCATCCTAAGCCTGCCCTGTAACCAGATTACATCTATGCTGTGCTGTATCCTGGAGAAGCAATAAACTCCCTCTATTCTACGGGCTGGCGGAGTCTGTTCGTGCCACTACAGGGGTGCAGGAGGCAGGGGAACCCCCACGTGCTACCACCAGGGAACCAGCTTTTAAGTTGGCTTCCCCCAGCACTGGCTCCTGCTTCCCCACACCCTTCCTGCCTTTGATAGAGGCAGTGGGCATGGGGAGAGGGAGTAGTTTAGTAGTCACTCGACTACCCAATAAGCCTATTCGCTTACATCCATACCAGGGACTATCAATTAGTCATGTAACAGCTAAAATTTGATGTGGTTACATGGCTATTCATTACACAGTATCTAACATCCCTACTCCAAAGACCAGCGTGCATACCTTGGCAACAGGAGAGCCCTCTTCAATGTGCTTTTCCATAGAACAAGGGCTGGAACCAGCATCACCCACAGGCCACAGATGTCACCTAACCATGAGGTTGCTGAGGGAGTTTTGCCCTTGAGCTAGCCCAAAGAATAAAATATAAATCCATGGTATGCCCACATCTTGAATACTGTGGGAAGGGGTGGTTGCCTCATCTCAAAAAAGATGTGCTAGAATTGGAAAATGTTCCGTAAAGGGCAATAAATATTATGAGGGGTATGGAACAGCTACCATATTAGGAGTGACTACTAAGACTGGATCTTTTCAGTTTGGAAAAGAGACGACCAAGGGGGAGAGGTGTGACTGATGTGAAGAAAATAAATAAAGAGTAACACAACCCAATAATACAAGAACTAGGTGTCAACAAATAAATTAATAGGAGTGGGGGAAGGGCGAGGAGCTTTAACCTCAGTGCCATCGTGGGTGTGAAACTACTTGACTGGCTTTTCACTCTCGGATTCAGCAGAGTTTAAGCCCTGTTGAAGCTCTTCTTTCTTTGTCCCTCTCA